CAAACATTTGTAAGCCACAAAGTAAAAAATTGAAAAGCTTCTAGATCTTACTCATCTTCGGTATTACACATGTGGTTGTTAGTACTGTGGTGGCTATACCCACACACAAACAATGAACCTACAATATGTCTATATACAACTGTGGTAAGTAAATTAGTCCCACACTTCCGGCAGTCCTCTCAGCTCTATTTCTGACCTTGACAAAACAGAAAATAACAGGAGAGTGTGTAATATATGCCCAGCTAATGGATAGAAGTGTGTTTATGACTGTAGTAAATTTATGATAAGTGTCCGGTGAAGCGTGTGCTAGTGTGTGAAGATGTGTGGGAGGGGCAGGTGAATTAAGTGACCAGGTATATACACTAACGAGCCGCTGTCGACCCACAGGTGTATATATGTACATACAGAGTAAGGCATGGTGGGCAGTACATTTTAATTACCTGCAAGATGACTTTACAATCCTACAAGCTGTGCCATATACACAAATAAAAAAGCGATTTCTGACAGATCTATTATATCACCATTAACGTACTATGATAAGATTATTGCCGCAAATTGGCCCACACCACAGTCAGTTTGATGTCATGATTACATAGCAGTAATGCTGTATTTGATGATAGTAAGGAAGCAAGGTGGGCCCTGTTTACCGTCCTGTCCACAGATCAGGGGTCAGTGTACTTCCGGCTATAACTTGCTTAGTTGTACCCGAGCTTTTGACAAGTCTGGTGAACCACATGGCCCTGTTTCAATGCAGTTTATGGAGCAGTCACAGAAGGTGTGATCTGACAATAGGGGTCAGCCAGCCACAAAGGGCTACCAATTGCTCCTTAAAGGGCCTCGGAAGTGGCCCAGTCTAAGAGGAAGGCATTCGCCTATATCATCTAATTTTATTCCCACTTGAACATGATCCAAAGACAAGTTCACTGAAAAATTGAGTCTGATATGATTAAACTTTTATTACACACATTGATTGCCTCCCAACGTAACTTTTGAATCTGGGGAAGCTAAAGGGCCTGTCACACACTACCGATGTACCTCGGTGGAACTAAACCGGAGCAAAAAATTAACAACGGAGAGAAAATCATCAGAGCTCCGGCGAGAAAACACTTGAAAAATCAAAATTGACCGTGGCAATACTGATGTAGTACAGCTTTTCTGTTGTGATACCGTTGTTCTATTGTTGTCCTGCCGATGTAAGAGCTGATGTGCCACCTTAGTGTTACCATTGTGCCGCCCATGTTATACAGAGGCGCCGCCACTGTTGACTGGAGCTATATCGGAGTGATACTGTTGCGCATCACTAAGAGTGGTAGTACAAGCGATGCGTCAGTGCTACTTCGGTGGTATTCAGTAGTACTACGGTATCACATCAGTAGCAGTAGGGTACACATTGAGGCCACCAGAGAGCTGCCGATCTATTATTGGGTGCTACTGGTGCTCTACCGACATTAACGAAGCCATATCGTAGTACTGCTGATGTAGTCCTGTCATTGCTCTGATCTGACAATGGACCGACGATGTACTACCGTTCTTAGCGATGTGATACCGTTGCGCTGCCATACTACACCGATCCCCGAAAATCACCAAATTTGTGCTCCGGTCTACCTCTACTGGTGACCCAAATCAGCTAGGTGTGACAGGCCCTTAAACTTGATGTTTGTAGGTCAAACACTAGTACTGTGGACTTCTACGAAACTTATCTAGGGGGACACCATGGACACAGACACTGTACAGTACTTTATGTTATAACTTATACAACATGATTTTTAGCTCACCTGCCCGAAGGGCAAGTGAGCTTATAATGCCATGGTGCGCGTCCGTCGTCCGTCCGTCGTCAAGGGCTACCAAATTTGTTCAAATAAATAACCTTGACCCACTTTCAAGGTCACAGGGGTCAAATATGTTAAAATTTTCAAACAACTTCTTTTCAATAACCAAAAGGCCCAGGGTACTGATATAAGGCCTGTAGCATGCTGGGATGAAGGGCTACCAAGTTTGTTCAAATGAATGACCTTGACCCACTTTCAAGATCACTGGGTTCAGATGTATCTAAAATCTACAAACGACTTCTCCTCAATAACCAAAAGGCCCAGTGTGCTGATTTTGGGTCTCTAGCATGCTGGGATGAGGGACTGCCAAGTTTGTTCAAATGAATGACCTTGACCAACTTTCAAGCTCAAAGGGTTCAAATGTCTTTAAAATCTTCACCAAAAGGCACAGGGTACTGATATTGGGTCTGTAGCATGCTGGGATGAAGGACTACCAAGTTTGTTCAAATGAATGACCTTGACCAATTTTCAAGGTGACAGGGGTCTTAAAATCTTCAAACGACTTCTTCTCAATAACCAAAAGGCCCAGGGTACTGAAATTAGGCCTGTAGCATGCTGGGATGAAGGACTACCAAGTGGGATCAAATAAATGACCTTGATCCACTTTCAACCTAATGTCCTTGTTTGACAATCAAGGTCACAGGCGTCATATGTTTAAATCTTTTAATAGGTTCTTATGACATCTTATGATTACAAGTGTGAGATTAATACCAGGTGGGCGATGCAGGCCCATTGGGCCTCTTGTCTACTTATGTTGAAATAAATAAATAATTTAAAAATGTTGTATTTATAGTTTAATACTGAAAAGGCAGTGTTAGTTTCTGGGTAATGCCCATTTCCAGTATTTATCAGAAGTACAGCATGTCAGATCTAACAATAACAACACTTCAAGAATACTGTCCCATCTTGTATATTTGAATTAACAGGAAAATAACTTTGCTTGAACTAATGTTTTATGTATCACAATGTTCTTGATACAGATAAAAACAATCAGAAACAAGCTCTTGTAAGATAATCAGGTCACATTTTTAGCTCACCTGGCCCAAAGGGCCAAGTGAGCTTATGGCATGGTGCAGCTTCCGTCGTCCCCAGTTGCTATGAAAAATTGATGGCATCATCACTGTATGACTTACTTTTAGCTCATTGCTACTAGTTAGGACTACAATACAGATTCAGTGTGTGAAGAGAGGTATTTCTTACTTAATAATTACATGTTACAGTATCACTTTTTAGCTCACCTGCCTCGAAGGGCCAAGTGAGCTTATGGCATGGTGCAGCGTCCGTCATCCGTCCGTCCGTCCGTCCATCCGTCAACCCTTCGTCCAACGTCAATATTTTACTTAAGCAACTTCTTTTTAAGGCCTAGGGTGATGATATTTGGCCAGGAGCAAACTGGGATGAAGGGCTACAAAGTTTGTTCAAATAAATGACCTTCACCTATTTTCAAGGTCACAGGGGTCAAATATGTTAAAAACTTTAAACAACTTCTTCTGAATAACCGAAACGCCCAGGGTGATGATATTTGGCCAGTAGCATGCTTGGATGAATGGCTACCAAGTTTGTTCAAATGAATGACCTTCATCCATTTTCAAGGTCAAAGGGGTCAATTGTCTTAAACAATCTTTGTACAACTTCTTCTGAATAACCAAGAGGCCTAGGATGATGATATTTGGCAAGTAGCATGCAATAATGAATGTCTACCAAGCTTGTTCAAATGAATGACCTTGACAAATATTCAAGGTCACAATGTTGAAATATATTTAAAACATTTAAACAACTTCTCAATAACCACAAATCCTAGGATAATGATATTTGGCCATTAACAGGCTGGGATGAAAGGCTACCAAGTTTGTTAAAATGAATGACCTTTGCCCATATTCAAGGTCACAGTGGTCAATATATGTTTTAGATCTTTAAATGACTTGTTCTTTATAACCAAAAGGTCCAGGATAATGATATTTTGGCAAAAGCATGCTGGGTTGTAAGTCTATAAAATTTGTTCAACCTAATATCCTTGTTCAAGTCACAGGCGTCATATGTTTAAATCTTTTAAGGTAATAGGATTGTGTCACCATTTCTCAGTAGAATTTCTTCCAATTTTGTAGTTATATTGCGTTGAAGTAAAGAAAATTTTCTGCCACAAAAAAAATATAGGTTGTCAGAATTTAAAGGATTTGAAATGAAAATTTATGTAAAAAGGAGTGAGTTTTGAAAAAAAAATGAAATACACGATTTTTGGCAAAATAATGTCAATGAAAATGATACTGACATTGATTAGTATTGCATTAATGTATATCAATTTAATAAATGCTGAAATTGTGTAAAATTAATTATCTATAAACGTTTAAAAATTGACATTTTATAATAAAACCATGTACATATATTAATTGCATGTAAAGAGTTATCGTTCTTGAAAAACTTCACAGTAGTGAAATAGGTAGCCAGGTTCCTGAAGTACAGAAAAATGGACACATGTGACTCATTGATAAAAAACAACTGAATTAATGCCTGGATTGCTTTGAAATACTTTAATATTGAGAGAACACACTGTTCTGTCAATAATAAACATGCAATATTTATCAGTTTAATATTAAACATCAGAATATGCGGAAATTGTGATACTGTCTAGATCTCCGTACATTGGATTTTCAACTAGGGATGCACTTCCTATTTCCGTTTATCAATACACTCCTATGACCTTAATAGATTCTTATGAAACAAACACTGATATTCTGCCTCTAGCTGTATTTTAGTCCATGTTTAAGATTACAAGTGTGAGATTATAAATACCAGGTGAGCGATTCAGGCCCATTGGGCCTCTTGTTTATTTGTCTAAGGGACTCGCAACAACAGCATGGAGGATTTCACTATGTATTTCTATTTAACGATTATTAATTGATCATCGGTTAGTTAATGGTAAATAATGATTGATCATAAAATTTCAAACGATTCCCAACACTATTAAATACAAGTATTTGTCATTTAAACAGGGATTTGTCTTGTGGGGCAAAAATCCCAGGGGAAGTTTGGACAGTGATTAACCGGTTTCGTTATATGGTTGGGTATGTAGGTTGTCTGTGAACAGAGGATGGACTTTGAACAGAAATATGTGTTACATGTATAAGAACTTGTTTGTGGACCTATAGCTGAAATAGGACAGGACAAGGATACTGTGGGGTATATGGGGGTTGCCAGTTGTTCCTGGACAGGGCTGGGATACTGTGGGGTATATGGGGGTCGCCAGTTGTTCCTGGACAAGGCTGGGATACTTTGGGGTAAATGGGGGTCGCCAGTTGTTCCTGGACAGGGCTGGGATACTGTGGGGTATATGGGGGTCGCCAGTTGTTCCTGGACAAGGCTGGGATACTTTGGGATAAATGGGGGTCGCCAGTTGTTCCTGGACAGGGCTGGGATACTGTGGGGTATATGGGGGTCACCAGCTGTTCCTGGACAGGGCTAGGGTACTGTGGGGTATATGAGGGCCAGTTGTTGCTGGACAGGGCTGGGATACTGTGGGGTATATGGGGATAACGAGTTGTTCCTGGACAGGGTTAAGATACTGTGGGGTATATGGTGGTCGCCAGTTGTTCCTGGACAGGGTTAAGATACTGTGGGGTATATGGTGGTCGCCAGGTGTTCCTGTACAAGGCTGGGATACTGTGGGGTATATGGTGGTCGCCAGTTGTTCCTGGACAGGGCTAAGATACTGTGGGGTATATGGGGGTCACCAGTTGTTCCTGGACAGGGCTGGGATACTGTTGGGTATATGGGGGTCGCCAGTTGTTCCTGGCCAGGGCTAGGATACTGTGGGGTATATGGGGGTCACCAGTTGTTCCTGGACAGGGCCAGGATACTGTGGGGTATATGGTGGTCGCCAGTTGTTCCTGGACAGGGTTAAGATACTGTGGGGTATATGGTGGTCGCCAGGTGTTCCTGTACAAGGCTGGGATACTGTGGGGTATATGGGGGTTGCCAGTTGGTCTTGGACAGGGCTGGGATACTGTGGGGTATATGGGGGTAGCCAGTTGTTCCTGGACAGGGCTGGGATACTGTGGGGTATATGGGGGCCGCCAGTTGTTACTGGACAGGGCTGGGATACTGTGGGGTATATGGGGATAACGAGTTGTTCCTGGACAGGGTTAAGATACTGTGGGGTATATGGTGGTCGCCAGTTGTTCCTGGACAGGGTTAAGATACTGTGGGGTATATGGTGGTCGCCAGGTGTTCCTGTACAAGGCTGGGATACTGTGGGGTATATGGGGGTTGCCAGTTGTTCTTGGACAGGGCTGGGATACTGTGGGGTATATGGTGGTCGCCAGCTGTTCCTGGACAGGGCTGGGATACTGTGGCGTATATGGGGGTCACCAGTTGTTCCTGGACAGGGCTAGGATACCGTGGGGTATATGGGGGTCACCAGCTGTTCCTGGACAGGGCTAGGATACTGTGGGGTATATGGGGGTCACCAGCTGTTCCTGGACAGGGCTAGGGTACTGTGGGGTATATGAGGGCCAGTTGTTGCTGGACAGGGCTGGGATACTGTGGGGTATATGGGGATAACGAGTTGTTCCTGGACAGGGTTAAGATACTGTGGGGTATATGGTGGTCGCCAGTTGTTCCTGGACAAGGCTGGGATACTTTGGGGTAAATGGGGGTCGCCAGTTGTTCCTGGACAGGGCTAGGATACTGTGGGGGATATGGGGGTCGCCAGGTGTTCCTGGACAGGGCTAGGATACTGTGGGGTATATGGGGGTCACCAGCTGTTCCAGGACAGGGCTTGGATACTGTGGGGTATGTAGGGTCACAAGAAGCTCATGTATACATTGGTTGACTGGTGACATACAACAATGTAATGTGATGTATACATATACAGTTGACAGTCGGGGGTGGCGGTCATACTTGACTGGACCCCTGAATTAGGTGAGTAAACATCAATATGTATACCAAGTGACCTGTCCCTGTGGGTATTTTATTGTGCTGGTCAAGTTGCTTTCAAGACTGATCTGGGAGGTCTATATACCTATAAATGTGTCTCCCACGGGCAGGTTTTATGTCACATCCCCTAGCCCCACGCCAAGGATGATCATGGTCCCTGGGTCAACTATACCTGCTCAGATTCCAGCTGGAAGGTTGGGACAGAATTTAAGTTTAAAGTTTAAGGTTTTGAATATTAAAAGACTTTAGCTGAAATATTGCAAGTTAAGGGAAGAAAATATTAACTGATGTTAAAAATAGTTCCTATTGTATGTAATAAGGTACCTGATGTCAGGGACTGTCAATGTTCTATGACTTGTGTAAGGTTGTACACCCACACTCAAATGGAACTAATGAGAAATTTGATATAGGAAACACTGCAGCCAGTCCGTAATGATAAAAAATATCTTGTGCTTTTTCCTGTGAAGACTGATAGCCATTGATAATAATAAATCTCGGATGCTTTTTTCCCTCTGAGAGTGTCATAATCACTAAATGCTGGAACAGTGTCTATGACATGTTGAAAGTTGTTGAATCATCCCCAGAGGTCCATCATGACTAAGTCTGCACCAGGTCAAACCGGGGACCTCAAGGTTCGGGGTGTTGTGTTGCACCTTGGTGCACCCGAACCCAAAGTACTGTACGAGACAGTACATGGGGAACAGATCATGGTTCTAACAAGGTTTCTGTGACCTTCACTTACGCAATCGGAGTGGCCATTATGCCTGCATGATCAGCTGGGTCTGTGTGATTGTTTATGTAAACCAAATGCTGATAATTGGGCAGTCGACTTACCACTGGGTACTGACGTGATGGATAAGATGCGGTCCAGGATGTGTGTGATTTACTGATTTATGAGTCGGTGGCACATGGCCAGGCCAAAAAAAAAATCAAGCTTGCTTAGTCATAATCGTACACCAAACACATTTGATACATTTCAATGCTCAGTAATTTGTAGGTAAAAAGAAATCACAATTTTTAAATGGTTAATGCATATGATAGATAATAAGAGCACTTGCCAGGTTGATTCGTGTAATATTAATATCAGCCTTAAACCTGACATTATGGCTTAAATCTCGCGCTAAATTAACCATATATTCAGAAAAGTTATTGTTTTATATTTTTAAGTAAGAAATGAATAACTCATGAAGTTGTTTTATCAATACAGAAATTTGTAATTCGTCCGTTCGTCCGTCCTCGTCCGTCAACTTTTCCTTTAAACAACTTCTTCTGAAGAACGGATAGGCCTAGAGTCATGATATTTGGCCGAAAGCTTTGTTGGTAGGAGCCCTACAAAGTGTGAGAACGAAAATGACCTTGACCTACTTTAAAGGTCACAGGGGTCAAATATGTCAAAAACTTCAAACGACTTCTTCTGAAGAACTAAAAGGTATAGAATCTTCATATTTGGCTGATGGCTTCCTGGGATGGAGCTTAACAAAGTTTGAGAATGAAAATGACTTTGACCTACTTTCAAGGTCACAGGGGTCAAATGTGTCAAACACTTCAAACAACTTCTTCTGAAGAACTGAAAGGTAT